TTGTAGAGCGTATTGGTGAAGCTAATGTGATTCAAATTGTCACTGATAATGCGGCAGCAAATGTGTTAGCAGGTATGAGCTTCTTGAAAAAAAAAAAAAAGATAACTACTTGTTATATTGAATTTTTTTTATGCACACTAGTTGGTAAAAAAATCTTTATTTAATAGGTAAGTTTTTGGAGGCAAAACGACCAAATCTATATTGGACGCCATGTGCTGCCCACTGCTTGGACTTGGTATTGGAAGATATCTTCAAATTGCCAAACTTCAAGAGAACATTTGAAAGAGGAATAGCATTACACGGTTATATTTATAACCGTCCAACTCTGTTGAATATGATGAGACGATTTACCCAGTCAAGGGAGTTGATTAAGCCCGCAAAAACTAGATTTGCTACGGCTTTTCTTACGCTAACAAGGATCAACCAACAAAAAGGTAACTTGAGAAAAATGTTCACTTCAGAGGAATGGACTACAAGCAAATGGGCAAAAGAACAACAAGGCAAAAGGACAGCACAAATCATTTTAATGCCTTCATTTTGGAGTAATGTTGTCTACTCTCTTAAGCTTACTGGCCCTCTTGTCCGTGTGCTTCGATTGGTTGATGGTGAGAAAAAGCCTCCCATGGGGTACATTTATGAAGCTATGGACCGGGCTAAAGAAGCGATTGCTAATTCTTTTAATGGCAATGAAGAGAAGTACAAACACATATTTGAAATCATTGACCGAAGGTGGGAAGTTCAATTGCATCGGCCTTTGCATGCAGCTGGGTATTTTTTGAACCCAGAGTTTTTCTATTCCAATCCAGAGGTTGAGAAAGATCAAGAAGTCATGAATGGCCTATATAAATGTTTGGAAAAGTTGGTCTCAAATCCTGCGATACAAGATAAAATTGGTCAAGAGTTGAGTATTTACATGAAAGGTGAAAACCTCTTTAAGTTGCCCATGGCGGTTAGACAAAGAACAACTAGGGCACCAGGTAATCTATGTTATCCCACAAGCTTATTTCATTATCATTGCTTAAATATGTTAGTTAATTAATTGTTATTCATTATTCACAACTGATTGGTAGAGTGCATATGGGTCTGCAACTCCAAATTTGCAAACCTTTGTNTTTGTAGAGCGTATTGGTGAAGCTAATGTGATTCAAATTGTCACTGACAGTGCGGCAACAAATGTGTTGGCAGGTATGAGCTTCTTGAAAAAAAAAAAATAACTACTTGTTATATTGAATTTTTTTATCCACACTAGTTGATAAAAAAATCTTTATTTAATAGGTAAGTTTTTGGAAGCAAAACGACCCAATCTATATTGGACGCCATGTGCTGCCCACTGCTTGGACTTGGTATTGGAAGATATCTTCAAATTGCCAAACTTCAAGAGAACATTTGAAAGAGGAATAGCATTACACGGTTATATTTATAACCGTCCAANCCCGTCTCAATGATTTGGTGTTTGTTAAGTATAATAGAGCTTTGAGACGCCGATATGATTCTCGTGACACAATTGATCCAATATCTTTGAACGATATTGAANTGAAAGAGGAATAGCATTACACGGTTATATTTATAACCGTCCAACTCTGTTGAATATAATGAGACGATTTACCCAGTCAAAGGAGTTGATTAAGCCCGCAAAAACTAGATTTGCTACGGCTTTTCTTATGCTAACAAGGATCAACCAACTAAAAGGTAACTTGAGAAAATNGCAATGAGTGGTTGATTGGGAGAATGGATGCAGACACAGATGAAGATAATGAGCTTGTGTTTGGTGATGATACTTTGACTTGGGGCGAAGTTGCTCGAGCTTCTGGAGTTACGGAAAGTAACCAACGGACTAGATCAATACCATCTACTAGGGTAACACCAAGATTTACAAGATCGACGACTGGACTCACAGATGAGGAAGACATAATTTCAGATGAGACAGACAAGGAGAATACTGAGGGATATGAATCTAAGGATAATGAAGAAGATGGTTTCTTTAGTGATGAGGATTGATTTCTAAGTCCTTGAGATATTTTCTTTAGTTGCTTGAATTATGTGACTTATGTTTTTAACTATTAGGATTTAGGATATTATTAGTGTTTGTATGAATTTAAATGTTTAAGCTATGACTGTTATTAAGATTTGCAATATTATTAGTGTTTGTTTTAATTTAAATGTTTATGGTTTTACTTGCATTTAAATATTTAGTATATATAAAATGAAAACTTTGATGTGTATAAGTAATTACACTAAAATATTTATTTATTTTTTTAACTGCTCGCTTCGCTTTGGTAAATCGTTTCGCTTCGCTTCTACCTTCTCGCCTAGGCGATAAGAGCCTTTGTCGCTTCGGTTCGCTTAACGCCTTAAATAACACTGACATAGACATTACCTTCAGAGGTATAGAAGCAACAAACTGCCGGTCGTTGACCAACTGAAAAACCACTAGCAAATGTAGTCCTAATAAGCATACATAACGACAAATGAGTGGTGGATATATCTACTTTATACCAGCAAATGTATTGGTAATGACTAATCTATACTACTTTAAAATATCAGCATATATGAAAAACATTTTTTCCACTTTTACCCTTCAACACTACAACTATGACATGTTTATCCTCCAAATTTAATGCCACAAAAAAAAACATTCATTTTCTTCTTTTATCCTCAATGAGTAATTTATTTCAATTTCATTCATCATCCATAGAATACCATAATTGATTTGCTAATAATCCTACAAATTCTCAAGCTAAATATAAAATTACGGTTAATTCAATATTTACATTTTGGAAGTCTAAAAGACAAACAGTGAATACATCATCTATATCTATATTATCTATCTATTCTGAAAAACTTTAAATTTTTTTAACTCCTGAATAATGATATTAAATCACTTTTCCTCTTACACGTAAATTAATTAAACATAATGACCGGTGCATATATGTTCACCCCTTCAAATTCTCCGCCCCCCCCCCCCACTCCTCTCTCTCCCGTTACTTTACTCCTTCAAATATCTCTCTCTCAAACAAGCAACGTATCCCCGCGTCTCCTCAATATCTTCCGTTCGTCCCGCAAGAAAAGCCGATCGATTCCTGTGCTACTTCGACCTTGGTTTGAGGGTGAGGCAAACATTGAAACACACTGATTACACCTCCAATTAGACACTGGTATTGACTCTATTGAATTTCTTTTCATGATTTTTATCAATGTGTGGATTCCCTTTAACACCCATATTAACGATTAAGAAGAAGCTTTTCACGCACAAATATCTCATAGCCTTACTCCCTCATTGGTGTTGTCCCACTTTACCCATTGCCCTTTGAATTTCTTTGTTTCTACTTTTTTTTCGATGTGTTAATCTAGACTTGACAAAGAAGAAAAAGAGAGAGACAAAAAAAACTTGTAATTGGTTCTTTGGATTGGGCTCGTGTTTGATTCCAAAATGCCAAGAAATTGGGATTTCCTTCTTTCCCTCAATTGTTCTCTCTTTAAAAGCTAAGAAAACAAAGAACTCTATTTTTTCCCCTCTTTAAAGCAACTCAGTTGTTTCTTACCTTTTTTGCTCCACTCATAACTTCTTCTCTTGATTAGTATTTCTTTGTACAAGGATTGAGCCGGTGATTGAAAAACTCATCTATTTTTGGCCTCTCTTCCTTCAGCATTTTGGTTTAATTTTCCTTATTCACAAAACAAAATATACAAAACCCAGATATGTTAATTGATAGCTAAAGCAAGAGCTGAAAGTTTCATATATGTTGTGAAACAATGAGTGATGGGACATCCAAGAAAAGCAAGGTTGGTGTGACAAAATTCCAAAGCATCAATAAGCTTACATTTGTTTGTTGTTATTTTTCATATTCCATTTGTATTTTCTGCATCAATAACCATTGTTTGGTTTCTACAATAATATTTCCAGTTTAATGGTTTCTGCAATTTCTATTTACAATTTATGATCTCTTCTTTGTTTTCTTCTTTCTAACTTAATAGATTTTGTGCTTTTATGTTTGTGTCTAAACTAATTTTTTTTTTTTGTTATTCAAGTATTGGTGCAGTGACAGTGAAATGGAAACAACTTTAACAACTTCAGTTTTATATTTTTCCATGCACTTATGAAGAATGGAGCAACCACTTCTCATAGAGATAGGCAAGCACTATCGAGAAAATTGGAACAGGTTCAGTATTAGACAACTCGAATTCCTTTGAACCATCAACCATACCACTCTCTAACCCCACTAAAATTTGCATGACATGCAGGTTGTTGTTCAGAGTGCTAAAAATAAGCTCTAATATTACTTTTTTCAATGATTTATATTTATAACTCTGTGACGGCTATTTACTTCTACAGTGTCATTTCTTCGGATTGCCTTCTACCTAAGCCTTTTCAATGATGGCTAATGTAACTGATGTACATTTACAACTGTGAGACTATATTCCTTCTATTTAATGAATATATTCATTTGTCGAAGTTTACTCTTTCAGCTTCCATGTTCTTGGTTTTTCAGTAATAGCTAACTTGCATATGCAGTTTGCTTTCCAACTCGGCATATTCAACTTGCTATCCCAGAAAACGAAGCATCTTCCTATCTCCTTTGTTCAAAGAATAAGTCGAGAATGCCGTCGACCAAATACGCGGTCGGAAAAATTGGAGACCAAGATAATGTTGTCTTGTCGCTTCGCCTNCGACCAAATACGCGGTCGGAAAAATTGGAGACCAAGATAATGTTGTCTTGTCGCTTCACCCAGTGAATTTGAAAAGGATTGGGAATGGGAGGTAAAATTGTCTCAAAGCAATTTCAAAAACATTTTTATCCAGAAATTATCTCAACTTAAAAGCCTTAAGGAAAACATATTGTCGTATATCTATACATGCCCAATCCCCTGGCCATGAAAACTCCCTCTCTCTCTCTCTCTCTCTCTCTCTCTCTCTCTCTCTCTCACACACACACACACACACAATGAGCAAGCTGCTTAAACACGTACCAATTTTCTCTCATATGTTCAGTATACAGTTATTTTGGTCTCTCCATTTCTTTCTATGCTACCGTGAATTTAAAATTTAATTTTAATTTTTTGGTTTGGGTAATTTTTGATACATGAAATCTACCATGTTAACCGGCTAAAACAAGAATCTATTCTCTTGAGGGAATTCTTGAAGAGAGGAGAAAAGTTCAATGCCAATCCTGGAAGACTGTTGCTCTTTCGGATGCCCAATCCCCTGGCCATGAAAACTCCCTCTCTCTCTCTCTCTCACACACACACACACACACACACACAATGAGCAAGCTGCTTAAACACGTACCAATTTTCTCTCATATGTTCAGTATATAGTTATTTTGGTCTCTCCATTTCTTTCTATGCTACCGTGAATTTAAAATTTAATTTTAATTTTTTGGTTTGGGTAATTTTTGTTACATGAAATCTACCATGTTAACCGGCCAAAACAAGAATCTATTCTCTTGAGGGAATTCTTGAAGAGAGGAGAAAAGTTCAATGCCAATACTGGAAGACTGTTGCTCTTTCGGATGCTAGCCGAAGAAATTACCCTTATCTCAACCTTTCATATATTTGTTCATGTAAAAAGAACAAGGTGCTAATTTTTATATGCTTATGCTTCATTATATCTACGATTTTTTGTAGTTTTGACAATTGGCAAATCTTTTGTTGTCGAAAACAAAATGGACTTTGGATCTTATAGCAAAAACAAGCGCGACCAAAAGTCAATGTAGGAACTAGAAAGTCATTCCTTTTATCAAATTGAGTTTTGCAGTCACTCATACGTTTTCTGGTCTATTTTTTTTTTGCCGGTGTCTTGGTGTATCATTTTGTAGTTTATGAATCATATAGCAAGGAGCTAGTTCAGTTCCTATGATTGTTATAGCAATTGGTGTGAAATGTCCTTATTATGTTCTTAGTTTCTTTCACAATGTGTCCTTGTTCTTCTCTCTCTATCTTTTTTCCCAAAAATTGTATGTTTTTTGTCAATTTCTTTTTTTTGATAGGGACATGAGTTATTATGTCATTTTATGTCTTTACCACTTCTTATAATTCAATAGTAGCCTATTAGTATAAACATATGCCGAACTCATGAGCATGAGAAATTTACAATTTAAAAGTTAAAACTTTGAGATCACTGATTGATTGCAGATTTGTAACGAAGCCAAGTGGTTGACCTATTAAATGTGACTTGGGACATAGTCATGTAAAAACAATATAAAAGCATCTCATTTCACTGAAGAAGCCTATGATGCTTCTATTTATTTATTGTTGATGTTTTGACTGACTAATATGCAGTAATATTTGTTTACACTAGCTGTTAATTACAAGTTCGAAGCAATTCGAAGATGGACATGATAGGAGATTCTATGATGCATCACAATGAAGATTTCTTGGACAATGTCATAATCAAGAATTTATTTGAGATTTTAATTACTGCTTTTCAAACTCTTGGTTTTTATAGTGATTTTGAAGGAAATGAAGAGAAGAAGAGATGGTTTGACAAAACTTTTGTGTTTAACGAATTAAGCACTTTATAAAGGACATAGTTTAATGTATCCTTACAAGTGTTCGGAAAATATAGAATTTGTACCATTTGAGTCTCGAAAGCACTAACTGACAGTCTCTCAAAAGGCACATCAAACACACTAAGGACATTGAAATGGTCCAAGAGGATATATGGCAGTATATGAGGACTCTTCCCTCAATTCTATTCCAAGCAGTCAGACGGAAGGAGAACCAATTGGCTTACCTTATAGCTTCCATGACCAGGAATGGTTCCATCCCTACACAGTGGGCTGTTAACCCACCTGGCAGAGTCATACAGCTGGTGAACAAGGAAGCTAGAGAAGGAATTGGGTAGGAAAGATGTTGATGGCTGGATCTTTCTTTAAAGCCATTTCAAAGTCCTTGTTTTTGCATATGGTATATTTTGTGATAGTGAAACCAGACCAAAAAAAAAAAAATATCAAGGGGCTGATGATTCCAACTTATTGTATTTATACGTTTTTAAATAAAAAAAAAAAATCACATACATTCTGCTATATATAAAATTTTATAGGAACTTAGGCCAAACTTATATTTTTGGCTTATAGATGGGAACATATCAAGTAGTTATTCTCAATTTTTTTGTTGACATTATACTTGATCTCATTATTGTTATGTATGGAAATCTTGAAAATTTGGTTGTTACGTGCCATGGAGCTAGAGGGCTATAGAGAATACATTAATGTTAGCGTTTTGGTTCTGTGCTTCCAAGCAGAAGAGAGTTTAGGAATATTATTACTATTCCAAAACTGAAATTGGTGACACTTCTATTTACAGTTGTACCATCTTTGGCATTTTTCCATCTTCGTATTAGCTTAATGTATTGCGAGGCAGTTGGGTGTTGATCCCCCCGGAGGTGTGATAAATTCAACTGACTTTTAACTATTGTTTAGGCTGCCCACAGAGACTCAAATAATGGTGCCCTATGCTTTGTTTTTTGAATTATTACTTCGACAATACAAAAAAGAACAGCCAAAGAGTTCACTAATAAGGCATTTGGGCATACCACCCCAAAACATTACTCCCCACTTTGTTTCCAGATTATAAAAATTAGCTCCTCATGTTGCTGCATTATTTAAATGAATTTACTTTGTTTCTTAACAACAATAAGTACATGAACTTTCAGATTTCTAAGACATTTCATCTTTAGATTTTTACACTAGAAATTTATTTGATAGCAGCTTAGGGAGTGTTTGATTTTACTTCAAGAGCTACACACTTATCAACCGACTAACAAGTACTAAGAAAACTTGAAGGCAATGAAACTTACCATCTCTAATCGTTAGTCTTGTAGAACTAAAAGTTGTTTCTACTTTCGATTATAATGTACGAAATCTGGATGGCCTCATGTGGTGATTGTTTTCCATTTTCATATTGTTGCGATACTTTACACATGAATTTCATGTTAGCAAATCACAAAAGTGCTTGAAACCTTGCCTATCTAATTTTCATGCCTAGAACACACTAATCACCTGTATTTTTATGGGAATGCGAAGACATTGAAACTTAATAAGCTCAATTCATAGTTTCACAAAACAAAAAATTTGTTTATACTTTTGAGTTATATATGTTTCCTAAACCACCTAATGTGGTGATTTGTGCCCATTTGCATATTTCCATGTTAGTGTGCATGAATTTAAGTTTTACCACAGAAAATAGTCATGAAACCTTTATCATTTTTGTTTTTCACATCTTGAAGTTATTTGGAAAAGCATTTGTTGGTTAATTACTAAGAATGCAGGGAAAAGGAGCAGAAATTTGGAAATCTTCATTTTTTTTCATTTGTATCTAATAGATAGAAATTAAAAATTTGTACATTTTGTTCATAAATCATAATCTAAGAATGCCAAACTAATATTTATTGGGTCCATTGTAAACAATACAGATGAAATGAATTGGGATTTTGGAGATATAACATACCTCCTCTTATAATTATATTAAGTTGGCTCACCATCTTCTTTGTTCATAACAGCTAAACTAGACAGAACAAGTTGACTCAGTTCTCTGTTTTGTTCTTGCCACCATGACTTGAATTAATTCTTCATTGTTAGGGAAAAAATGTCATTCAAATGCTTGGAAGGGTGCTGGTGACACTGGTGGTTATTCTTATGAGATAGGTTTAAGGTTGTGATCTTATATGCTTCGTTTAGGAGTCTTGTTCTAGATTAAACTTTTTACTTGTAATTTTATCTCAATTATTCGCTCTCATGTCCTTTGACCTGACCATTGACGATTTTCAACCAAACATCCTCCAATGCCTTTATATATTACCTTTGAGTCCTTAAGTTAATAACATATATGAGTCATATATTCACTTTTAATTAGGAATGTATGAGTTACATACTTCACTCAAATTCATTTAATGTGTCAAAATCCTTTTCTTTGAATGGCAAATAGCACAAAACCACCTTTTAAGATCTCGTGTCAAAATGCTCAATCTTGTACAAACAAACTTATAACTCCATGCCATAACAAATAAGAAACAACTAGTGAGCATAAAAATCACAACCAAACAAATTCAAGTGCCGAAAATTCCAAACCTAAAAGAGACGGATCAGAAATCACTACAGATCAAATACATAGATATATTGGTAGATTGAAAAACAAAAGCCATGGGATAAAGAATCTTACAATCTTGACGTCAATAATCTCAAAAGTGTTGATGTGAGTAGCTGAAAAAGGTTAATGCACCCACAACAAAACAAAAAATTATTCAAAAATTGAGTCGAAAACAAAGAAAAAAAAAGGATAGATCTAATCTTGGATTCTTCTCATTGTCAAACAACCTGAATTGTGTTAACCGGTTAGATATGAGAGAGTTTAAAAATTAGTATTATTCCTATTTTCAATTTTACTATCATAAAAAAAGGAAAATACTATTTCAACTTAAAATGCTGACTTGATTTACTAACTTAATCAATAACAAGTCATAACCATTGAATAGGTAATGAATCTAAATACTAGGATCCACAATTACATCAATGACAATGATTGAACAAGTCAGAATTTTAAGTTTAAGTAGTATTGCTCATAAAAATAACTCTCCGCCAACAAATTGAAGCATACTGTAAACAAATATATCAAGTTACATTGTTCTACTCTCTTTCCTCCGTCTCATCTCTTTTCCTCTCTGCTCTAGGGTTTTCCATAATCTCAAATCTCTTGAATCGCTTAATTATTGGGTTTCCATAAAAGCAATCCCTATCTATAGAAATTGTTTTACCCTTGAAATATTGGGATTTCTATAATCCCAAAATTTTTCCCTAAATCTAGGGTTTCCTTTAAAATCTCAGAATTTCTACAGTGGCTTTCCCTTAAATTCAACAATAACAATACACATCATTCATATAGGTTCATCAAACAAAACCAACTCTTTTTTAATATCGTTTTGATTAAACATGGAGCTTGCCAGTTCTTTGTGCAGCTTTAATGGACTCTCAGTAGACAAGCAACCTCAAATTAAAGACTAAACCAAATGATTCAAAAATTCATTCTACTCACAACAGAAGAAAGAGGCTTGTGCTCGTGAATGTATGAGTTGTTGGGGTCATGGGGTTTGTGGGTTGAGTGTTGACAGAGAGAAGGAGAAAAGCAACTGAAGGGGGAGAGGGACTGAGGGTGACAGTATAAAGGTGAATTTGTGTGTGAATTTGTGTGTGAGTTTGTGCAGAGGGGGAAAGAGAGAAAATGAGGGAGAGAGATGTACCTGAGAGCATAGGCGACGTGTGCAGATAGATAAGTGATGAGTGTTGCAAGAGATTTTTCGGTGTCGTCGTGTAGTGAGGAGAGAGGGATAAGGGTATAATGTGCGTGATAGATGCAAGGGTGAGATATAGTAGTGAGGGACGAGAGAAATCAAGGACAGAGACTACCATGGGGAAATGGGGGGAACACCAGGGCTAGGGATATCGTGCCTCATCGTTACCGTCCACTAATAAATAAATAAGTCTACGACTTAATCTTAAAAAAATTTATCATAAAAATTAGAGTTAACTTCTCTTTAAAAAATTTATAATGAGTTTAGTCGCTGGGTAAATTATTTTTTAATTTTACTAATAAGTAATTAAGTCCACTATTTTTTTAAAACTCAAAAATGCTTTTCTAATGACTTAAAAATCAATCTTCAACATTAAATGAGTTTCCTAAATAGTCATCCTTGATCCACACTAAATGAAAGATTTTTTTCTATAAAATCTGAAATCCAAATTTAAATTTGACATCACTACCATCTCTCTCTCTCTCTCTCTCTCTCTTTTTTTCTCAGAAGACTATGGTTAATTTAATATTGAATGTTGTTATGCATGTTATTATTTTTTGTCCATGTTACTATTTTTTTGTTGTGCATATTATTATTTTTTTCAAGAGTATGCTACTATTAATATTAAATGTTACTATTTTTTATTTTTGAATATTACTATATGTATGTGTGTGTGTATATATATATATATAACCAAACCGAGATTAAAGTGATATGATTTGGTCTTCCTTTTATTTAGCAAAACATGTGTAAAATGATATCCTCTGATCAAGAAATCACATCCCTTATTCAAAAGGATTTCATTTTACCTTTCAACAGGAATCCTACACTGACCAAATTTGGAGCCCAAATGACATTGCAGTTGACTTGGACTTTTTAATTTGGTATCATGTCATTTGGGCCCCAATAAAGATTTCAAATAATATATTGCCATGTCATTTTGGGCTCTAAATTTAATTCCAAAATTTGGTCAGCATAATATAACATTACTGATCTTTCAATATATAATGCAATGGACACCCACAAACAATGTGTGGAGTAATTGGACCAAATCTCTTACGGTGTGTTTGGATAGTGGGTTAAAGTGGGTTAACACCCACATGGACAGACTAATAAGCCAATGAGTCCCAAAAATCCCTTGTTTGGGAAGTCGTTTTTGAGACTGGATTCAAATCCCGGGTCAAGTCTTGACCCGATCGTTACAGTGGCATTTAACCCACCTATGTTGGCTACAATTTACCCACATCCACCATGGGTTACAAACCAGGCAAGAGAATAACCACACCAAACATATTTGCCCCTCCTGATTTCTCTCGTCCCTCACTGCTATATCTCACCCTTGCATCTATCACACACACTCTACACCCACATTCCTCTCCTCTCTTTACACGTCGTGACCGAAGAACCTCCTGCACCACTCATCACTTATCTATCTGCACACGTCGCTGATACTCTCAAGTACATCTCTCTCCCTCTTTTCCTATCTTTCCCCCTCTGCACAAACTCTCACTCANCACACACACACACACACAATGAGCAAGCTGCTTAAACACGTACCA